CTCTAGCTCCAGGGCCTGGCAGGCTAGTAGGCAAGGAGAGATGGGACAATTTGCCTAAGATCAGGAACCCTTCACCAATGAAAAAGGGGCCCCTGGCTCCAATTCTCAGAGCAGTTCTCTCTCTCTCTCGGACCTGGGTGCTCCAACCCTAACTGTCCAGACTTCACTTCGTACCGATTGATTGTAGCTCTGGCTGCTCAGTGAGCTCAGCTCTCCTCCGGAGACTTGTCTCGGAGAGGTCAGTGAGGGCGCAGAGGGTCTAGTCTAGAATCACAGTGGAGGTCGGTTCCCAGAATTGGCAACGTAAACAGAAAAATCATCAGATCAGGGCAATCATACTGAATTAGGCAGTGTCACCACAGCCAGTATGCTGGGCTTCCATGGGCAGCGTCCTAAAGGGAGATTGAACACCAGCTACCCTTGAGTAGACCCCCGACTCCCGCCCCCATCCCCCACCCCTACACCTTGTGCCCTCCACAGGCTCTCCCATGGCTGCTCGGCTCTCATCCAAGGCGCGTCTGGGTGTACTTGAACCTCCGACCTTTCGGTTAGCTAAGCCCGTTAACTCTGTGCGTGCCACCCAGGAACGTCAGAGGGAGAGAAGTCACTATTTAAGGACAGAGGCCTGGGGCAGGAGCCTGAAGAGGGATGTCCATGTGTCCTCCTTCACCACTCTTCCATCAACAGCAGCCAGGACCCCCACCCCCAGCCCCAGCTACTCCAGGAGAAACAGTGGGGGCTAAGAAGCAAGCAGGTCTACACTGCACCACGAAGCCCCACGAACGTCTACAAAGGACTCTGTGTGTATATGTATTTATAGAATACGACCATAGTATCACATACAATATATAGTATATACACACACATACATATGGACCCATACACTAAGTACATACACACACACACACACACACACTCACAGAATGACAGCAAAACCTGGGGCACGCCCTAGGTATAAACGTGCTTGGCACTCGGGATGTCCTGTAGAATAGGTAACTTGGTCAAGCTCTCCTGGGGGGAGGGAGGCATCTCATTGAACCTCCTCATCAAATGTGAGCAAAAGGGAAGGAGAAAGGCATTGGGGTGGGGCCGGGGAGGTTCCTTCCCCAGTGACCTGGGGGCCCCTGGCAAAATAGACAGCCACATTTTGGTTTGAATAAGGCACAGTTCGAGAGCAGGTGCTGGGAGTGAAGAACACATTGCTGCTGGCCCTTCCTGGGGGCAATGTCCCCACGTCTATCGAGCCAGAGGGAAAGGGGGCCTTGTGTACAGGTCGTGTGCTGGGAGACACGAGAAAGAGAGAGAGAGAGGTTGGTCCATGGTGTCAGCATAACTGATGGCAACCTGCCGGCTCCGCAGTGTCCAGGGGAGTTTACGGAGGGCTGGCCAGCAGGTGGGGAGGTTACTGACCCCCCAAGGCCAGGAGGTTGTGGCTGGAAGGCACCATGCCCTCCCACTCAGCGAACTCCAGGATGGCCTTGTAGCAAAAATAGTACTGCTCGGGGGTCTGGATGCTGAACGCCCTCTGGGTCCGCATGCGGGACACAGTCTGGAACACATTCAGGGTGCCCAGCTCCTCCAGCTGTGCCAAGCAGATGTCCAGGGAGCAGAAGGTACCTGAGGGAAGGAAGGAAGGAAGTGGTTATCCCTGCCTCACCTAGACTCTCTCCCCTCCCCTCAGTCAAACCAGCCCTGAGAACCCAAACTTCTCCAACCGGATGAAGGAATTCAAAGGCAAGTTGCCTCCTGGCAGGGGACCAGCTGGCCTGAGGCCTAGAAAGGAGTGGGGAGGGCGACATGGCCTTTGAGAAGCCGGAGGAAAGAGACCCAGCCTCTAGTCTCTGAGGACAAATGTGGGGGTGCAGGTAGAGAGGTGGGATGGTGGCAAAGAGGAGGGCCTCCTCTTTCAATAAGAGGCAGACAGACAGCACGCCCACCCCTGGGCCCTAATTGTCAGAGACTCCACAAGGTACCCACGGAGACCAAGCACAAACCTAGCCTCCCCAGCTTTCTTCCAGCAGGCTCTCTGCAAAGGGGACAGCGCTCCCCTCCGGGGGAGGGTGCCCATCTCCTAAATGAAAGGCTGCTAACTGGCAGCAGAGTGCAGTGCGGGGTGGGCACCTCTGTGGGGAGCAGGGAGGCCACTAAGTACTGGGTCTGAATACTGAGGGCCCCGCTGCTGGGAAGGACAAAGCACTGATCACTAGCGGGCAAGCGTGGGTACTGTTGTTTTGGCTGGGCCTTGACCACAGCCCACTCCGTGGCTGATGAGGTGATTCTGACTCCTTGCTCGCGACCCTACAGGCCAGAGCAAAACGGCCCCTTTGGGTTTCTGAGAGGGTAAATCTTGAGGGGAGCAGACAGCCTCCTATTTCTCTCAAAGAATGGCTGGTGGGTTTGAACTGCCGACCTTGTGGTTAGTAGTCCAGTGAGTGAGCCAGTTTCAGATGAGGCCTTTGAGCTTTTTGTACATATACACATACACATCCCAACACACACCCCCAACACACACACCCACCCCACCCCGTACTGCCTTGAATACACTGCTCAGGGGCTGCGTCAGGAGCATTACCTGTCCTGCCAATGCCCGCGCTGCAGTGGACCACGATGGGGGGCTCGGGGGAGTGCCCTTTGGAGCGTGCCCCCAGGCTGCTGATGGCCAGCCTCTGCTGGTTCCTGACCACTCGCAAGAAGTCAATGAGGGAAGCTGCCGAAGAGGGGACGCCGTAATCTGGCCAGCTCAGGAACTGGAAGTGGGTCACCTGGCGTTTCTGCCGGTCCTTGGAGGGGAACAGAGTGAATAAGCTCATTTCTGCCTGCCTCCCCCACTACAAAGCCTACCTGTCACTCACTCTGGCTTTTCCAGATTGTCCCCATCCTCCGAAGGCCCCTACTTCTCTGGTACCAGCCTCAGCTTTTCGCCACAACTCCTCCCACAAGCCCAAAGTGCCCTCCCTGCAAGCTCAGCTATGACTCACTGCCGTGGGGTCCTGCCAACTTTAACCCGGCGAGGAAGGGGCTAAACACTGGAGAGGGCAGAACTATTAGACTAGGATCCAGACTTCTTATGTTCGAAGCTTTATTCCTAAGTAATGCCACGGTGATGTTGAGCCAACATGGCTAATTGGCTCCTGATCCTGTTCCCAGAAAAATGGAAGCAATTTATCATAATCTCCCTGGAATCCTGCCGAGTCCCCAGAGAGATTTCCCTTACGGTAGAAATGTCTCCCCCACCTTCAGAAAGAGTTAAGAACCCCGAACTTACCTCTGCGTTGTGAATTTCCAGGATGGTTTTCTTATAGTGATTCATGTTCTCCACTCCTAGGTTGGTCACTGTGAGGAAGCCACCGAACTGGATCCGAGAGTCTTTTTCTAGTGGCCAGTACTGCCCACACTTCTTCCTGCCGCCCTCCTCAAAGCTGAGGACACAAGGGGCAAGTTAAGTCTCCCATCCTCCTTCCCCCACTACCAGCTGCTGTGTGTGCGCCTGGCTGCAATGCCAATCCCTTGCATTGCCTATGGCTTATACGCCTGCTTCTTGGTTAAAAAAAAAAAAAAGGCCAGAGGAGGAAGCCTCTTCTTCCCAAGCTGATGAACAAGAGCTACTATTTCAGCATGTGCTCTTCGAGCACTTACTCTGCATGTCCTGATGTCCCTCTCATACATGGGAGCAATACTGAGCCGGTGAAGAAACAGAGAAAGGGGTGGGGGGCGGTTCTTGGAGCCACTGTTCCTTCTCTGCCTACCCCCCCAAAAACCCCTGGCTGACAGGCAAGGGGAAAGGCACAGCTCCTGGGATGCCAGGAGAGATTTGGGTAGAGTTTGAAGGTCCACCTCACCGCTCTTTACTGGCTCCAAAATACTCCCTTGTGGACCTTCACCCACTCCCTCCTGTCCACCACCGGGGCGGGGCTTGGGGTTGGGTGTGTGTGAGTGTGAGTGTGCGTGCGTGCGTGTGTGTTAACAGTGCCCTAGGGAAGGGAACCCAGCAAAGACTGTCCTTCATTATTTTTCCCCTCCCCTCATCTGAAAGTTATAATTATCGAGATAATGATGAAACTAATGAAATAGGTCATTCCTGACTTTTTGGCAGATCTAGAAGACCAACAAATTTTAACATTTTAAAGAATTCCTTTCATCAAGTTTCCTTCCTGCCCCAACAACTGTGTCGCGCCTCTCTTTTCTGAAGTTCAGCCACAAATAGAAATGGGAATGAGTGGAGAACGGCCAGAAGAGGTGAGGAGGGGGAGCAGGAAAAGGGGTGGTAGCTCAGGAGCATGGCCAACAGCTGCCCTCTGGAAACAGGGCCAGCTTCAGGGGAAGGAAGTGCCTCTATGTCTCTAGTCCATCGTGCAGTGGCTAAGGCAAGACCTCAGAATAGGTTCTAAGTGGCCAGCGGTCACCAGAGCCACGGATGGGCGCTTTGACGCGTTAGACCTTGCAATCTCCACCATCCCTGGCCATGCTAACCTGAGCGGCTATGAGATAATTAAGACATGGGCACATTCTTTACTACGGCATCCCTAATCCTCCTGGATTCCGCGAAAACCAAGCTCCTCTCCTGAATCACCCCTGTGTGGGGGCAGGTTAGGGCGGGGAGCTGGGGCAGGGGGAGCACTTACCGGGTGGTCATGACAATCACCAGGACTTTTTGCTCCCACACCATAAGCCAGAAATCACGGTAGGTGTTCTCCAAAGGGCCTGGAAGGAAAGGAGAAGACAGGAGCTTGACCCTGGGAGGTTCTTCCCCCCTCCTGGCTGTTAACTCAAACGCCAAAGCACAGACACCGGCTGCCTGCTCCAGCCCAGCCCAGCCCAGCAGCAGCATCCAGGAGGCAGGCCCTGCATCTTAACGAGGAGGGCACATTACCGGTGAGGCCACAGTGGTCTGTCTGTACCTTCTCAAAGGTTTCTCCTCAGGCCTGCAGCCATCAGCACCGCCAGGCCAAGTGTACCTGTCTGTTGTCACAGCACTCATGCTCCCTGCCTGCTCAACCCTTCCATTTCCCCATCTCTGTCACCAAGCCCCAGGGAGTTTTGGCCTTTGAAATGCTTTAGTTTTATCACTCTGTCCCCAGTGTCATGGCCTCGTCCAAGGCCTTTATCACCTTTTGGCTGCTTTACTGTAACGTTGAACAAAACAAAACAACCGCCCCCTTAGTCTTACAATTCTGAAAAAGTCTCTTTGCCTCCTAGTCTAATCCTGGACACCCTAAACCCAAACTCAGAAACCAAATTCACTGCCACTGGGCTGATTCTGACTCAGAGCGACCCTGCAGGGCAGGGTACAACCGCCCTGGGCATTTCCAACGTTGTACCTCTTTGCTGGAGGAAAGTCTCGTTCTCCCTTTGAGCAGCTGGCGGTTTAGAACTGCTGACTTTGAGGTTAGCAGCCCAATAGCCACTAGTCTCTGAAAACCCTGTTTTTCCTGACTCATTAGAGTCGCTTCCCCACATGCTCCCTTCTGCCTCCATTCCTTTGCTCAAGCTATCTCCTCGCCTCTAAGGCGCTTCATGTTCTACCCCTTTCCAAGCGCCACCGACCTAGTCCTTGCAGCACCCTCTCACCACCACGCCCCCTGGGAGGCTCCCTCACCCCAGAGCTCTCGGAGACACACCTAGACCCAGAGAGTGGGACCATTTGATTGAGTTGGTCGCATCATGATTTTATTTTGTGGGCATCAACCGGGTCTCAGCAAGCAGGGTCCTGAGGGCAAGGGGCAGTGCTGCCTACTGCGGCTTTTATAGTTCAGAGGCTGCTTAGGGCCGGGCACTCAATGGGGACTTTGAAGATAGTTGCATGCTGCCAACTCCCTTTGTGCAAAAAAGGCAAAACCAGGCCTGCTCCCATCCAGCCAATTATTGCTCCTGGCCGTCATCTTTATGGACGCTGGTTGTCAGTCTTTCTTCTGTGGTGCAGCGCAGGACAGACACTTCCGCATGCTTTTCTTCACTGCCCCCCCGCCTCACTCTGCTCTTAAGGAAGGGGCACCAAGGGTTTATTTTGCCCATGAATCAGGTTCTCCACTGGCTCCGCGGCCATTTTTCTTAAAACCCTTTGGCCTTGTGCTGCTGGAGGGCTCCCTCTGCAGCAGTATGAGCCGGTCAGGTCTTGGCAATGCGCCGCGCGTGTAACGGGAGTGGGCCCGATAAATCACACGGTGCTATGGGCATGAGTTAAGCAGCTCAGAAAGGAGATACGTTGGGAAAGCTGCGTTTTCTGCTGTGGCAAGACATTCCCCAGACACCAGTCCGTGAGCGTGAGCATCATGGAAAGAGCCCACTCTGTTAATGAGTTGATACGTACGAAGCTGAATGTGGATGGGCATCGCAAAAGGTCTAGGAGGAGAAGCTACAAAATGTTCGTGTTCCGCTGAGTCTTCAGGAGGTGTGGCGATTTTAATTATCAGCTTTCCATAATGACCATGTGTAAGCTTTACATCAGGGGTCCTCAAACTTTTAAACCAGGGTGCCAGTTCACTGTCCCTCAGACCCGTTGGAGGGCCGGACTATAGTTTAAAAAAAAACTATGAACAAATTCCTATGCACACTGCACAGATCTTATTTTGAAGTAAAAAAAACTGGGCAAAAACACCCGGTGGGCAGGATAAATGTCCTCAGCGGGCTGCATGTGGCCCGCAGGCCGTAGTTTGAGGATGCCTGCTTTACATTAATAAAGAACTTTTATTCCCTTCTCTGACTCCCAAACTCATCTTTTGTTCTTTTAAATCATTTTATTGGGGGCTCTTACCACAATCCATACATACATCCATTATGTCAAGCACATCTGTACACACTGTATATACTCAAGTATAAGCTGACCTGAATATCATCCGAGGCACCTAATTTTACCACAAAAAATGGCATTAAAGGTGTGCTGAAAACCTCGGCGTATACACGCGTATATACGGCTATGCTGCCATCATCCTTTTCAAAATATTTTCTTCCCTTGGTATCAGCTCATCCCCTCCCTCATGAACCCTTGATCGTTTATAAACTATTCTTTTTTCTCATGTCTTACACCGACCACTGTTTCCCTTCACCCACTTTTCTGTTGTTCATCCCCCTGACACGCGTCTTGCTCGCATGTGTGAAGAGGGCAGGTCCACTGCACCGCACTGAGGTCGCCATGAGGCCGGCCTTGCCATGGCCCACTGCCCCTCACCGCAGCAGCCTTTGTTTCCCACTGAAACCCCGGCAGGCCTGGGGGCAGCTGAACAGCCTGGGCCACCTGAGCACCGGGGCAGCACTCGGGCTCCGGCGAGGCCGTCTGCTCAATGACAGTAGCCTGATCACACGTCAGCAAGGGAATCGACTACACAACCTCCATTGACCTCGAGTTTGCCCGAGGATCCATTCGTCCTTCCAAACGGAACTTGGCTCTCCCATCTTCTTCAAGCGCCTCTTGCCTTTGTTGGTCTTGTTTGGCTTCCTTTTTCGTTCGTCGTTCATGGCACAAACTTTGGAGAGTCCAGACCGGTGTCCTTATAGTATACTCCTTATCCATCTGCTTTCTTGTGATTCGACTCAGATTTTAAAACTGGCAACATACTCAACCCAAGGGTGCTGTGCAATTCTTGCTGGGTGGCCACCTTAGGAAGCAGAGTGTCTGTCCCATGACTGGTGATGCACACGTTGGTCACATGCCTGAGGAGGCACAGGCCAGAGCCCGTACTGGCAGCGATGATCGAAGAGTCATATGCCCATGTGATGAGCATGTTTCCCTCCCATGTGGATTTCTTCCCACCCTCTTTGAAACGCTCGGGTCTTCTCCCTGAGATGAGAACAAGCCAAGTCAGGAATGGTGCTGAGGTCCGCAGGAGCATTTCTGGAAACTCCATCTGAAACCTACCTAGTACTCCAGTGTCAGACTGTCCCCATCAGAGCTCTGCTGGCCATGCTCTGTGATCATAAAGGAACCAGCAAAGGCATCTTAGGACAGACAGCAACATTGAACGACAAAGGCATGATGGGAGGTGGGAGGGGAGAGATGCAGAGAGGGGGAAGGTGGGGGGAGAAAGGGGGAACCGATCACAATGATCTACATATAACCCCTTCCCAGGGGGATTGACAACAGAAAAGTGGGTGAAGGGAGACAGTGGTCGGCATAAAGCATGAAAAAAAAAAATGTAAATCAACAAGGGTTCATGAGGGAGGGGGGAAATGATCTGATGCCAAGGGCTCAAGTAGAAGAAAATGTTTTGAAAATGACACTGGCAACATATGTACACCTGTGCTTAATACAACGGAGAGATGTATGGATAAGAGCTGTAAGAGCCCCCAATAAAATGATTCAGTCAAACAATCATGCCATCATCCAGAACAAGGAGCTGCAACCAGATGGCACAGAGCCACCTGGGAGGGGCGGACCGCCTTACCTTGTGTACCAATGTAAGCATTCTTCCGCTTGTAGCCATCCATGAAACTGGCATTGATGTAATCTGTCTAATGATAAAAAGAGAGAGACGGAGGCACATTGCAGCTGTGCAGATTACAGCTTCTGGATGAGAAATCAGGTCTTGGTCAATACAACCCAAGGTGTGGGCAGTCTTCTTCTCAGGCAGAAAATGTGAAAAGGACAATTCGCGAGCTCACTTCAGCCAACGGTGCTGGGACAACGGAATGTGCACACGCAGAAGGGTAAGGCCTGAGCCTTTCCTCACACCGCACATAACATTTAGCTCCACACAGATCGCAGACCCGAACGTAAGCGCTAAAGCGAAACAACTCAGAATGGGAGTAAATCTTGGAGACCTGAGTTCAGGCAAAGCATACTTAAGATATGACAACAAAACCACGGGCGATACAAGAAAAGATCGCTAACTTGGGCTCCATTCCAATGAACCCTGCTGGGACTCAAAGAAGTGAAGAAACACGAGCTGGTCTATGTTTTTGCTGCGTCTATATTTTCAACGACAACAAAGTTTTAAAAGTGAAAAACAAAGTGCATAAATATACAAAATACCCATCAAGTACATGGCATGGAAAATTGCTTTTGTAACAATTAAAAACAAAAAACTCACGACCATGGAGTTGACGGCACCCAAGAAATCCCTACAGAGCAGTTCTATTCTGTAACACGTGGGGTCACCACAGATCATGAGCTGGATTCAACTCAAAAGCAAGCAACATCAACCTAGCTGAGCTCTGATCAGGGGCTTCGATCTAGAATGTGTTAAGCCCTGGTGTCGTAATGCTTAAAGCACTTGGATGCTAACGGAAAGGTCAGTCACTCGGTAGAGAACGATGTGGCAGTTGGCTTCCTTAAAGATTTACAGCCATAGAAGCCCGATGGTGCCTGGCTTACCCTATCCTACCAGGTCGCGAAAAGTTAAAATCAGCATCATTAACAGTGGATTCTCTAGACGATATAAAACTCCAAAAACCAAACTCACTGCCCATGAATCGACTCTGACTCAGAGCAACTCTGAGGTTTCTGAGGCTGCGAATCTTTAAGGGGACAGAGAGCCTCATCGTTCTCCCGAGGGGTGGCTGGTGGGTTTGAACCCTGGGCCTTGTAGTTATCAATCCAGTGTTTATCTGAGAGCACCACCAGGGCGCCTTAGAATATATAAATAACTCGTAACATTCAATAACCAAAAAGGAGAAGTAACCTACTTTAAAAATGGGCCAAGAGTCTAAAAAGACAATTCTTCAAAGAAGATGCATAAATGCCCGATAAGCCCATGAAAACCTGCTCAAAGTCATTAGCCACCAGGGAAATGTCAATCAAAACCACAATTTGATGCCACTCCACCTTGCCTAGAGGACTACGCTCCACAGGACGGAGGAAGGTGCTGGTTAAGGACGCAGAAAGACTGGAATCCATGAGACCTGTAAGTAGACTGAGACATAGTGCAGCCACATCGAAACATAGTCTGCCGTTCTTCAAAAGGCTGTCTACAAGGCCCACTCCTAGACACGAAGGGGCTTCAAAACACTCAGGGCAAAACAAAATGGAAAGATAATGGAATTTTTCTCTTTTCCCAGTTTTAAAACTCGAAACGTTGAGGCATTTTATTACAAAAAGTCAGGCTCGTATATACACTAATGTACTATCAAATTCATCATAAATTGACTGCATTTTTAGGCTTGACCTTCTAGTAAACCTTTAACTTCCTTGATCTTGGCTGCTATGTAAGGTGAGCTTCCCTTATCCACAACTCAATGACGAGCATTTCTTGGTTGTCCTTTATTGGCAGTAGGGCTCACACTCAGAATCAATGATGCCTCCCATTTTGTCATTCAGGGTTCAAATTCTACCTCGGTAATAAACACCAGGGGAGGCAGCGTTGGGAGAGTTTGACAAACTTGTTTTACTGGAGGCTCCACATGCTTCACGGCTTGTAAAACATCATGACCTGCAGACCCTGCAGTGTCCGTGGACGGTCAGCCCAACTGCCACCACGGTACTGACCATAGCTCCAGCTCGGTTGCCCTGCCCTCCCTAGAAGCTCGGTTCATCTCAGCCCGGAGGCCTCACCATCCACTTCATGACTCTACCGAAAAGAAGCTCAGAGAGGCACGAGGATCATGGGATTTTTCCATGCACTTTTTTAAAGCACCACGAGAATGGAAAACATACATCCATACCAAAAAATGATACAGAAATATGCCCTGCAGCGATATTCATAATAGCAAAAAAAAAAAGGGGGGGGGGGGGACACTCCAAATTAACTTTCAGCTGATGAATGGAAAAATAAATAAATAAAGGTGGCATGCCCTGCAAGAGAAGGGGGCTTGTCACGGATGAGGAATGACGTACCGGTACCTGCTATACCCAAGCAAACCTTGAAGACATCATGCTAAATGAACAAAGCCGCCTATTCTGTGGGTTCTATAATGCCCACAATAGGCAACTCTACGACGATAAAAATAGATTCATGGTTGCCTAAGGTTGGGGGGCGGGAGGACTGGAAAAGAAAATGGGGAGTAACTGCCAAGGGAGCAACTGTAAAGAAAATACAGGGTTTTCTTTTGGGGGTTCTGAAAATGTTCTCAAGGTGTGGGGATGGTTGCACGACTGAACATATTCAAACATAACGTGGATATGTTGGTTATATTTTAATATATATATATATAATATCCACTTACATGAAATATTGAGACTAGGCAAATGCATAAAGACCAAAACAGGTGAGAAGGGCAAAGGAGAACTCAATGCTTAGCGGACACTAAGCTTTTGTTAAGGGTGATGGTGTAATTTGGGAACAGGTAAGGGCGGTGGTTAAACACCCTGATCAGCATAATGAATGTCACTGAACTATATATGTGAAGATGGTTGAAATGTCAACTGTTTTGTGGCATATATATTTACCGAGAGAGACGAAAATAAAGACAAGGCGTCCACTAGAATGTGCAGCCCCGAGCATGCTGAGCAAGAGCACACAGCTCACCCTGCCACACGCAGGAGGCACAGTGAGGCTGAGAGGGGGCGGGCTCCACCTCCTGTGGAGGACCATCAGCAGGATGGGTTGAGCAGCAGGCCCCATGACCACCTGGATGAATTCAAAGCAACATCCAGTCAGAGCCAAATGTACAGGCATCTCATTGATCAGCTGCTGCCTCCTCTCTGAGGGCTCCTCTCCTCATCTCTCAATGCCCCCAGTCCTGTTTCAGCACCGCATTTTATTAGATCTGCTCACAAGCTCTCTGCAAACATCCTGTAAGCCAAGCTGATCCGTTTATGAAGGCCTCACTCGCTCCCAGTCAAGCCTCTTCCTTGGAAAGTGCAGCAAAAAGGTACAAAGGTCACGGGGTTTGCCCCTGCGCTTTCTAAAGCACCCTCGTATGTATCCAAGAGAACTGACAACACACGTCCACACAGAAAGTGGTACAGAAATGTTCCCTGCAGCGATATTCATAATTGCCGAAAGAGCGGAGTAAGTCCGCTTCTGCCAAGTCTGGCGCACTGCCATAGAATAGGCCACACATCTCTCCCAAGATCAGAAGAGAATACATAAAAAAAGGACAAAACGTCATACACACGCTTGTCTGGCAGTCTGCACATACGCTTGCCTGGCAGTTTGTCCTATTGTGTGGTGGCTTGTGTGTTCCTGGGATGCTGGGAATTGTGTCACTGGTATTTTGAATACCAAGCCGGGTCACCCAAAGTGACCAGGTTTCAGTGGCGTTTCCAGACTCAGAATGGATTACAAGGAAGGAACCGGCTGTCCACGGGGGAGGAAGTAGCACCTGAATGAAAACAGTCAGACCCTGCAGGCCTCATGAACGGAAGGAGAACATGGTCAGAAGGAAGGTCAGGCCACAGGCCTCTCAGCTCCGAAGACGCTCCAAATACGACTGAGGAGAAGCCACGTTCTCAAAGGACAGTCGGCCATGGTGGCGAAATGGAGTAAAGCCTCTGGGGTTTTCATTGGCTGACCTGACGGGACACAATTCAAAATAAATTCAAAAGAAAAACAAACCACTGAAAACTTCCATTTATAAACAAAACTTGAATCTAGGAAAATTGGAAGTAGCTAGAAATGAAATGGAACACAGAAAGATCAATATCCTAGGCATGAGTGAGCTGAAGCAGACTGGTATTGGTTACTTTTAATCAGAAAAGCACGTGGCTCATGATGCTGACAGGGGCAACGTCAAGAGGAATGGCACTGCTTTTGTCACCTGGAAGGACATTTCAAGCTCGATCTTGAAGCACAATGCTGTCTGTGAGAGAACTACATCTATCCACATTTAAGGAAATCCAGTTAACACAACTACTATTCAAGTCTATGCACCACCTACAAAAGCGAGCGATGAAGCTATTGAAGAATTCTACCAATATTTTCAGTTAGAAATTCATCAAACATGCAATCAAGAAGCATTGATACTTGTGGGCCCTCAACAAGATGCATTGACACAGTGGCTGCAAGATGGGCCCAAACACAAGAACAATGGTGAAGGTGGCACAGGACCAGGAAGTGTTGTATTCTGTTGTTATATAGTTAGCATCAATTGGAAGTAGGGTTGCTGTGAGTGGGAACCGATTCTATGGTACCTACCAACAACATGCTATCACCCCTCCCTCTGGGGGCACAGTGGTTAAGCAATAGAACAACGTGGATTGTTCAAACCTACCAATCACTCAACAGGAGAAAGATGAGGCTGCCTGCTCTGTGAAGATTTACAGCCTCAAAAGCACACAAGGATTACTCACTAGGGGACCACAATGAAAGTCTAAAGGTGGAATGGGATGGAGGGGGGCACTAGACCGCTCCATCCCTGATGGCAGGAAGAGCAATGGGACTTGTAGGGGGCCTGCCTTTCAGCCACGAAGGTGGAGGACCAAAAGAGTGTAAGTGTATAAGTATAAGTTGGGTATAAGCGAGTTCTGGGATATGGAACCCTGAGAGAAATGGGGGCTGGGCTAATGGATTATAACAAGTCCTTCTCTCTATTTAACAGAGATACTCATCTACTCTGGGTTAGGATGACAACTA